AATATATTTAATATATAAACATAACATATTTTTCTGAAATATATACATGCATGTGTGTGTATTTATATTTACATAATAAATATACAGAGAACACACACACATATATTATGCAAACAAAAACTTATTTTGGATGCGATTAATCGTTTGACAGCACTAGTATTCAGCAAGGATTGAAATTGGTCAAAAGTGACAATAAAGGCATTTAGAATATTATAAAGGATTTCTATTACAAATAAATGCTATCCTTTTGAACGTTCTGTTCATCAAAGAATCATGAAAAAATGTATCATGGTTTCTACAAAAATATTGAGCAGCACAACTGATTTCAACAACATTAATGATAAGAAAAAATATTTCACTCCGCATATTAGAATGATTTCTGAAGGATCACGTGACACTGAAGCCTGAATAAATTGGCGCTGAAAATTCAGCTTTGCCATCACAGGAATAAATTAAAAACCGTTATTTTAAGTTGTAATAGTATTTCACAATTTTTACAGTATTTGATCAAATAAATTCAGGCTTGGTGAGTAAAGAGATTCTTTCAAAAACATAAAAAAAACATACCAACCCCAAACTTTTGAATGTTACTGTAGGTGTGCTAAATTATGTACTGTAAATAATAATATTAGCATTAATAGTAGTTAGTATTTTTGTTGTCAGCTATGTGGATGAGAACGTAATGATATTGCTAATTTTTTTGAACAATTTTGCGGTTATAGGTCTTTGATGCAGGGTCTTGACATAGACTCGGGTTCATTTGATTTGTCGGATTGGAACCAGCGTCTCCCCCCTCCTGCAGCCAAAGCTGTGGTTCAGAGTCTTCCCATGGTCATCATCTCCCCTGAACAAGCAGGTGACAGACTACTCATTCATAATCATCTGCAAACACATTCATAGAAGACATTATTGCACACAGGAACATTAGCAACAGGATAATTGGTAATAATTTAGTTAGATGTTTCCTTGTGTTTGGCATTGGCAGCAAGTTTGATTGAATTCGACGGTCTTAAATCCTTGGTGTCCATGACTGTCATTCTTCTTGAGCTTTCCTCATGCTCTTTTTTCATGTAACAGATAAAGCACTGAAGTGTCCGGTGTGTTTGTTGGAGTTCGAGGAGCAAGAGACTGTGAGAGAGATGCCTTGCAAACATCTGTTCCACACAGGATGCATCCTGCCATGGCTCAGTAAAGTGCGTTTAGCGGTTGAATTTTCAGTATGATCTTCCTGTGACCATGCTAGCTACCATTCAAAAGTTTGGGGTTGGTATCAATTTTTTTGATGCATTCAATTGATTAAAAGTGATAGTAACAACTTTTAAATTGCTCCAAAAATATGTATTTCAAATAAGTGCTGTTCTTTTAAATGTGCTATATTAATCAAAGAATCCTGAAGAAAATATATCATAGTTCCCACAAAAAAAATAAAATAATTGAGCAGCACAACTGTTTTCAACAGTGATAATAATAAGAAATGTTACTTGAGCACCAAATCGGCTTATTAGAATGATTTCTGAAGGATCATGTGACACTGAAGACTGGAGTAATGAGTAATTGAGAAAAAATAATAATATTTTAAGATGTTAAAATATATTGTTATTTTAAATTGTAATAATATTTGACAATATCACTGTTTTACTGTGAGCATAAGAGACTTATTTCAGAAATCTTACCAACCCCAAACTTGAAAGTTAGTGTACGTGGATAATATTTCATGTTTGGCATAATCATCAATTATGACAAATAATCAAGAGTTTTTACATAACATTACAGACCAATTCGTGTCCCTTGTGCCGACTTGAACTACCCACTGACAATCCAGACTATGAGGAGTTCAAAAAAGACAAGGTAATACTGTGCAATATCTGTTTTCTGTCTTGCCCAGTTATTGTTATTTTTATAATTCATTCCTTGCATTCTTCTGTAACACTTTAAGAATATACCTGAGCATTAAGTGCGTTTGTATGTTTTTACAGGAACGGAGAAGACAAAGAGAACACAGACTAGAAGATCTACATGGAGCCATGTACACATGACCTTGAAGACTTGAATATGAATTAAACTTTCAGTTTGTTGGAAGTGAGAGTTTACTGTGCAGGGACCAGGCTTTGGGTGGGGGGTGAAGAAAAAAGAAAAACATAACAAAACAGCAAAAGTTTCACTTTTCACAGTATCACTTTTAAGACTGCTTTGTATGGCTATGCACTGAGAACTGTTTGTATGGAACTGTAATGTAGCCTTATAGACACGTTTCTGATTTTATTAAATGTTTTAATTAAAGCAGTTGCTTTTGTGTGTTTTAGTGTGAAATTTAATTTGTTCACGCCACGAGTTCATATTCATTCGTTTTGTTCCCTTACGAGATTTCTTACCTATAAGTGCTGAAAAAACTTTATTGTGCTGTGAATGAATGCCATAGTTACAATAATTCAACTATGGCATTCAACGATACAATAATTCATAGTGAGTGCAGTGGTACACTGTAGGCATGACTTTATCAGTGGACTCTACATTGTCCACTTTCCCAGTTAGTAAACAAAACCCTGCTTATATAATACGGTAGAACTCTACCTTGTGAAAAATGTGTCTGATTTTTAGGTGTGTAATTTATTGTAATGATTCAACAGGCTGAGACAGTCTTGTTGTAATGACTATTATTTACTAACGTTGGAGCAAAAAAAACTGTCTGAATATATAAAATGTTAAATAGTCTTTTCCAAATTTTTAAATAAAAAGTGAGCTTCTCTTAACATAGTGTGTATTATTATTTCAAGTGTGTTGAATTTGCCTTTGAATGATCACAGACACAAGTACAGATAAACCTGTTTATTATCCATTGGATGTTTTGGTAATTCAATATAAATCTCTGTCAAAGAAAATCATTGAAATTATACATAAATCTTACTTATTTACATAAGTAATTCATAAAATAAATATTCTCTCCATTGTTTTTATTTCGATTTTGGAGTGTGAACCTCACGTCTTTGTTGTGTTCTTCACAGATGCAATGTGTTGATAAAAAATACTTTGATTACATCATTTAAAGGCATCAGAAAAATAACTTCTATCCAGAACCCAACAGCTGAAAATCATCTAACATCAAGAAAGAAACATCATCAACCAAAAACACATTATATTTGAATCATTTTCATGCGAGGAGATTCAGATAGTCCTCGGTTTTCAAAGTGTGGGGGATCCTCAAGCCTACATATCACAATATGTGTAGGCTCCTACAACATTGTCTCACAAGCACAGATACATTGCAACAAAATTAAATGTGTTAAAAATAAAAATCAGTTCAAATTGTAACATAACTAAGAAATAATCAATTAACTATCCTTGCACAAACTTTTGCTCTTAGGTGACCTATAAATGACTGATCTATTATTCAGATAATGTAATATGGACTATATGCATTGACAAATATTGCATGTAATTTATACAAAATGTTGCTGGGATATAGCAAAAAAAGACAATTAATGAGAAACGACATCAGCATTGACTTTAGGTTCATATGCACATGCTTTATATTACCCAAGATTTTATGCCCTTTTGTTTTTGTTTGAATTTGATCCGTTACGTTACTGTACCTCTATATGCAGTTTGGTTTGAGTTAAATGTATTTTGTAATGAGCAACTAATAAATTTTGGAGGTAGCAATAAAAATAAAAAAAACATTCAAAATTAAATTTAATGGATGGTTTCAGTTGTACAGTGCAGCCCTGTGAATATTCCCTTAAATGAGAAGTGGAAACAATTTCAACTGGCTCTCCAATAATAGAGGAGTCAACAGAGATAAACATGTATGATGCCTAGAGACCACATCTAAATTTACAGTCTATTCATTGGTATGAAACTTATCTGTCCCATTGAAGTACAGCAAATTAACAGAGACAGTAACTGGCACATTTCTGTGTGAAATTTAAATGTTAAAGCACAATAAACTTGGGAGTAATTTTAAAAGCAATACGGACCCTTTGATTGACAGCCTGAATTAGAAACATCACATAAATACTACAGCAACATTAAGGCCACCATAACCACTCAACCCTCAGAAAGTTTTCATGCGGTTTCCTAGGTTCCAGCCTGGAGACCAATCAGTTTCATTCATATAATTGTTTAAAAATTTGTTAATATTGCAGTAGTCATTTTCTCAGTGGCTGTGTGTCCTTCTACACACACACACACACACACACACACAAAAAACAATGAGAGTTAATGAATCAAAGGCATACAGTACATATTTAGCAAAATGAAATGCATCCTTTGGCAACAGAGAAAAAAAAACTGATGTGCTGATTACGTAAATAATATCACGAAACTACACAAAACAATCAACAAAGATATGCAAGTAAAATAATGTAAAACGCTGAATGGATGTGGCATTTTGGAGTGGTTTTTATGGCCCTCGACAGAAAAAAAAAGAAGAAATTTGATTAAAAAAATATATATAAAAAGTTACAGGTACAGTCATTGTGAATATACTTATTCTACAACTTATCAACTGACAAGAAGGGCAAGGTTAGAGCTTGTGTCACCTTTCATCAGTTCCTCCTGCTCGAAATAATAAAACAAAACCCACCTTGTCAGGGAATAAAAACAAGAATGAAACAGGACAGAAGCAAGCCAGCATGACAAAACATTTATCTTACCCACTGCATCATTAAAAAGGCCACCATTACAAAAAATGGGTGAATGAGACTTATTATAAATTAGATTTCAATTATAATGTATTTTTCTTATTATTCCAAAATAATAGGTGCTCAAAGGCTATAGTTCAATCCATATTTTAGACATTCACGTTTCAAAAATGATAGAATACTCGGATCCTGATAGTCTGCAATCCCAAATAAAAGTGAAAAGATTCATTGTGTTACCTGCAAATCATCCATTTGCAACAGTACTTGTGGGCAAACAGTAACAAGCTCTAAAAGAGATACCCCTGAAACATTTGTGCAAACGTGACAGTAAAAATTGTCCCCATCGCCCAGTGCAACAGTTCAAGCAACAGCAAAGTGACCTCACATACCATTGGATCTGTGCTAACAACAACCTTAAAATGGATCTCAAATCCAGCCCATTCTGTCCTTTTCAACCACAAACAACCCAACAGAAGCTTATCGCAAGGCAAAACAGGATGAAAAAAGACACATTTATCAGACGTAACTTTAAATCGGAAATGGTTGTATACAACAGTCACACCTGTAAACCCGTTCAACTCTTAACCTGCCTCGAATCAGACTGGACAGTTCCGCTAAATCACTTTAATCTCAGCTCAAGTGTGGTCTTAAATGTAGGGTGCACCATTGTGAGGCTTTCCACCTGGCAGTTTGTGACTGTGTGTTTAAAGCATTGCGATGTTCTCAGGAGTGCAGTTTAGATGGGTGGAGGTGCTGCTTCCACCTGGAGATTTCAAACCCTTTGTGGTGGTGCCTCCCAGGGAGTCTGCTTGGATGTCGTCTCCGATCATGACGCTGGGCCCGTGCGAGAGGCTCCGCTGGAGGCCGGCCAACATGGTCTCAGTTGTGACGGTGCCAAACTCGTAGGTGAAAGTCCCGTAGAACACGAGGATGAGTACAGTGAAGACCCACTCACAGATGGCCGCTGCGTGTTGTAAGACAAAGCTCTCGTGGATGAAGAATATCCCACCTGAGAGGAACCATCAAGGATTCAAATGTTTTCAAAAGGAAGCTTACATTTGTGTGAGCTGAAGGCACAGCTGCCCACTATGGAATTAAAGGGATAGTTCACCCAAAAATTTAAATTCTGTTGTCATTTACTCACTCTTAAGTTGTTCCAAACCTGTATGGGTTTCTTTCTAGTTTGAAGAATGTGGGCATACAGTTGCTGGTCCCCATTCCACAGTATGGAAAAAAAATAAAAGAAAATAAAAGGCTATTTAAAGGGATAGTTCACCCAAAAATGAAAATTACCCTCACCCTCAAGGCATCCTAGGTGTATATGACTCTCTTCTTTCAGACAAATCCAATCGATGTTAAATGATGGATGGATGCGCTTTATTTATTTATTTTATGATGGATGGATGTGCTTTATAAGCCATGGATTATTTATGGAAATACTGGTTAATTAGCTGCTCTCATAGTTACATCACCCAGCAACAATTTAGCCACCACTTTTTCCTCCAGTTGGGAAAAAAACAATTCATAAATCATTGATGAACACAGCAGTGATAAAGCAGGAAGGCTGGGAGACTCCAGCTGGACTCAGCAGTCTCCTCGGCAACATTTACACTGAAGCAATTAGATTATACCTCCACTATTATATGAGTCAGGGGCTTCATGATCGTGAC